GAATGTCTGCACCACAACTAAAGAGCCCCTTAGTCCGAGCCTCGCAAGCCTGAGTGAGCTGGCACGGGCCAGCTGCGAGTTAATTACTGTGTCGAAGTATCCTCTGAGTGAACATCCAAGAGGTAGGCTCAGACTCTGCTTCATCTCTGTAAGCAGATCCACAAAATGGGAGGGAAAAAGGGCTTGAGAGCATGTGGTACTTTCTCTTGAATCAGTGGGGAAAAATGTTAAATTGGTGGTTTTTTATTTACAAATGCTGTGTCATTGAATCAGAATAAACAAATGCTGTTACCACAATTCACAAAAAAGGTAAAAAATTTCCTAAACGGTGCAAGAGTTCCTGAGCAGCTTTTGGGTAGGAGAGATACCAAATGACAATAAATGTGGTTATGTAATGGACTCAAAATAAATAAAAGCTCAGCTGTTACTGGTAGTTTACAAAAGCAAAGAGGGTTTGTGGCTAAAAAGGAATAAATGATTTTTTTAAGTAACTGAAAGCTGTTTGCCAGACATGGAAGACGAAGGACAGAGTTGGCCCATTACTTGATGAGGAGGGAAACACAATAATAGAGAACTCAGCAATGGCTAAAATATTAAATGTATTCCCCTCCTCCGCCCCCCCCCCCAGTTTTTACCAAAAAGGTTAGCCGTGAGCGGACAACTAACATAGTGAACATCACTGTAAAAGGAATAGGATCTGAGGCTAAAATAGGGAAAGAACAAGTTAAGATTTACTTCAACAAGTTAGATGTCTTCAAGTGGTTAGGGCCTGACAAAATGCATCCTAGGGGTCTGCGGACCACAGATTGTAAACCACTGTTCTATGGTAACAACAACCTTTTTCAGACCCCTTAGACGTAGTCCACAGACTCGTAGTTGTAAACCACTGTCCTAGAACACTTAAGGACCTGCTGATGAGAGGTCTGAGCCATTAGCGATTATCTTTGAGAAATCATGGAGGGTGGGAGAGATCCTGGACTACTGGAAAAAGGTACTGTATTTGCCCATCTATAAACAGCTAATAAGGACAATTCAGAAATTGTAGACCAGTCATTTTAACTTCGGTACCCAGAAAGATAGTGGAGCAAATAATCAAACAGTCAATTTGTAAGCTCACGGAACAGGGATCGGCAAACTTGGGCATGCAGCCTGCCAGGGTAAGCCCCCTGGCAGGCCAGGCCAGTTTGTTTACCTGCTGTGTCCGCGGATTCGGCCGATTGTAGATTCCACTGGCTGCGGTTCGCCACTCCAGGCCATTGGGGACTGTGGGAGGCAACATGCACAGAGGGATGTGTTGGCCGCCACTTCCCACAGCCCCAATTGGCCTGAAGCGGTGAATCGTGGCCAGTGGGAGCCGCGATTGGCCGCACCCGCGGATGTGGCAGGTAAACAAACCAGCCTTGCCCGCCAGGGGGCTTACCCTGGCGGGCCTCATGCCAAAGATTGCTGATCCCTGTCATAGAAGATAAGATGGTGATAAGTAATAGTCAGCATATATTTAGTCAACAAGAACAAATCTTCAAATCAACTTAATAGCCTTCTTTGACAGGGTAACACGCCTTGTGGATGGCGGGGGGAGTGGTAGATGTGCTAAATCTCAACTTTAAGTAAGGCTTTTGATACTGTCTCACATGACCACCTCATACAAACTTAGGGAAATGTAACCTAGATGAACTACTGTAAGGTGAGTGCACAACTGGTTGGAAAACCATACTCAGAGTAGTTATAAATAGCGGGACCATAACCAGGGCATAAAGCTGGGGCTGCAGAAAAGTGGGATGGAAAAATAACAAAAAAACAGTAGGGGTTAGAGTCCTGCAGCGGGCATGGTTTTGCCACACTTACTTCTGCGCTGCCGCTGGCAGTGGCGGCGCTGCCATCAAAACTGGGCACCCAGCCTGCAGCCGCTGCCCTCCAGCCGTCCAGCTCTGAAAGGCTGTGCCGTAATAGTGGGAGTGGATAAGAATTGAATAAACAATGCGAGAGCAGGTGGGAGTGGGTATTATGGGACGGGATGGGAGCGGGATTAAAAGAATAGTCCTATGCAGGGTTCTCGTAAGGGATGCAAATATGCTTGCTCGCTCCTCCTGTTAAAATGTTTAGCTACACACTGCTAAACGGTTCAGAGTCCAGCTGGAAGGGCATATGGAGTAGATTCCCACAGGGATCTGTCCTCGATCTGGGTCTGTTTAATATCATAGAATATCCGGGTTGGAAGGGACCTCAGGAGGTCATCTAGTCCAACACCCTACTCAGAGCAGGACCAATCCCCAACTAAATTATCCCAGCTAGGGCTTTGTCAAGCCTGACCTTAAAAACCTCAAAGGAAGGAGATTCTACCACCTCCCTTGGTAACGTGTTCCAGTACTTCACCACCCTCCTAGTGAAAATATTTTTCCGAATATCCAACCTAAACCTCCCCCACTGCAACTTGAGACCATTACTCCTTGTTCTGCCATCTGCTACAACTGAGAACAGTCTTGATCCATCCTCTTTGGAACCCTCTTTCAGGTAGTTGAAAGCTGCTATCAAATCCCCCCTCATTCTTCTCTTCCACAGACTAAACAATCCCAGTTCCCTCAGCCTCTCCTCATAAGTCATGTGTTCCAGCCCCCTAATCATTTTTGTTGCCCTCCTCTGGATGCTTTCCAATTTTTCCACATCCTTCTTGTAGTGTGGGGCCCAAAACTGGACACAGTACTCCAGATGAGGCCTCACCAATGTCGAATAGAGGGGAATGATCACATCCCTCTATCTGCTGGCAATGCTCCTACTTAAACATCCCAAAATGCCGTTAGCCTTCTTGGCAACAAGGGCACACTGTTGACTTATATCCAGCTTCTCGTCCACTGTAACCCCTACGTCCTTTTCTGCAGAACTGCTGCCTAGCCATTTGGTCCCTAGTCTGTAGCGGTGCATGGGATTCTTCCGTCCTAAGTGCAGGACTCTGCACTTGTCCTTGTTGAACCTCATCAGATTTCTTTTGACCCAATCCTCTAATTTTTCTAGGTCCCTCTGTTTCCTATCCCTACCATCCAGTGTATCTACCACACCTCCCAGTTTAGAGTCATCTGCAAATTTGCTGACGGTGCAATCCACACCATCCTCCAGATCATTAATGAAGATACTGAACAAAACCAACCCCAGGACCAACCCTTGGGGCACTCTGCTTGATACTGGCTGCCAACTAGACATGGAGCCATTGATCACTACCCACTGAGCCCGACGATCTAGCCAGCTTTCTATCCACCTTTATAGTCCATTCATCCAGCCCATACTTCTCTAACTTGCTGGCAAGAATCAAAAGCTTTGCTAAAGTCAAGGAATAACACGTCCACTGCTTTCCCCTCATCCACAGAGCCAGTTATCTCGTCATAGAAGGCAATTAGATTAGTCAGGCATGACTTGCCCTTGGTGAATCCATGCTGACTGTTCCTGATCACTTTCCTCTCCTCTAAGTGCTTAAGAATTGATTCTTTGCGGGACCTGCTCCATGATTTTTCCAGGGACTGAGGTGAGGCTGACTGGCCGATAGTTTCCAGGATCCTCCTCCTTCCCTTTTTTAAAGATGGGGACTACATTAGCCTTTTTCCAGTCATCCGGGACCTCCCCCAGTCTCCATGAGTTTTCAAAGAAAATGGCCAATGGCTCTGCAATCACATCTGCGAACTCCTTTAGCACTCTCGGATGCAGTGCATCCGGCCCCATGGACTTGTGCTCGTCCAGCTTTTCTGAATAGTCCTGAACCATTTCTTTCTCCACAGAGGGCTGGTCATCTCCTCTCCATGCTGTGCTGCCCAGTGCAGTAGTCTGGGAGTTGACCTTGTTTGTGAAGACAGAGGCAAAAAAAGCATTGAGTACATAAGCTTTTTCCACATCCTCTGTCACTGGGTTGCCTCCCTAATTCAGTAAGGGGCCCACACTTTCTTTGACTTTCTTCTTGTTGTTAACATACCTGTAGAAATCCTTCTTTTTACTCTTAATATCTTTTGCTAGCTGCAACTCCAAGTGTGATTTGGTCTTCCTGATTTCACTCCTGCATGCCTGAGCAATATCTTTATACTGCTCCCTGGTCATTTGTCCACTTATAAAGTTTGCAGATGATACCAAGCTGGGAGTGGTGGTAAGCACTTTGTAAGACAGGATTAAAATTCAAAATGTTCTTGACAAACTGGAGAAATGGTCTGAAATAAACAGAATGAAATTAATATTGATAAATGCGAAATACTAGTTTGGGAAGGAATAATCAATTGCACAAATACAAAATGGGAAATGACGTCCTAAGAAGGAGTACTGCAGAAAAGGATCTGTGGGTTATAGTTGATCGACTAAATATGAGTTAATAATGTAATACTGTTCCAAAAGAAGCAAACCTCATTCTGGGATATAATAGTAGGAAGTTGTAAACAAGACATAAGAAGTAATTCTTCCGCTCTACTCTGTGCTGATAAGGCCTTAGCAGGAGTATTGTGTTGAGTTTTGGACACCATGCTTCAGGAGAATATGGACAAACTGGAGAAAGTCCAGAAGACAGCAACGAAAATGATTAAAGGTCTAGAAAACATGACCTCCAAGGAAAGATGGAAAAAAATGGGTTTGTTTAGTGGAGAAGAATAGACTGAGGGGAGTCATAGTTTTCAAGTACTTAAAAGGTTCTTACAAAGAGGAGGGGGATAAATTCTTCTCCTTAACCACTGAGAACAGGACAAGAACTAATGGGATTACGTTGCAGCAAAGGAGATTTAGGTTAGATATTAGGAAACTTTCTAACTGTAAGGATGTTTAAACACTGGAACAAATTGCTTAGTGAGGTTGTAGAATCTTGTCGTTGGAGGTTTTAAAGAACAGATTAGACAAACACCTGTCAGGGATGGTTTAGATTATATTTAGTCCTGCTTCAGTGCAGGGGACTGGACTAGATGATTTATTGATATTCCTTCCAGTCCTACATTTTTATGATTCTGTGAGGCAAAGTTCAGTAATCTTTTCTTTTGCTCCAGAGGATACAGCCTCCAGAGGATACAAAAGAAACTAAATGCAGTGATCCCAGCCAATTCCAGCCTCAAAGGAAGGTGAAAATCTGCACAAATTACCCAAATTAATGCTGCCAGGAATCTGCCAAATTTCCTACAAGGTATTGTCAAACTTCCTTCCTTATGTTGAGGTGCTTATGAACAAGTTGTTAATAAGCCAGTGATAGGTAGTAATGCAAAAGCAAAGAGGTCTCCCCCCCACTAACAAAATATTAAACGTGAAGATGAGTTTCCTTATTTTAGTGTTTTGATTAAACTGGAAACATCTTTCCATATTAAAAACTAACTATCTATTTTGTAAATTTCCTGTTCTGTTGCTGACTCACAATTTTCTGTCTAATATTATTTAATGAATGAATTAGTAAAGCATTCCCAGTGATGTAGCTGAAGAATGTACCCATTTGCTTGAGGGTATTTTAAATAGTACTTATAAAGAAACTTGGCCAAAACCCGAAATCTTTATTCCATTTTTAATTAAATCAGTGGGAGTTTTGATTGATTAAAACCTATTGCCCAGTTCATTACTTTGAGTTCAGTCATCTGTGTGAAACTGTTTCTGTGCTTTGAGTCCATGCAGAGGGCTCTCTGGTACTGAGATCTGTGAAGGGGCTAGGATGGACCAAGGTGGAGAATGGGCATGCTCCGGCTGGAACTGGGAATGACCGTACAGTCTCTCCATCAGCTCCATGGAGATCATGCCTGGAGTTTATTCGCATTCCTGCAGGGCCCCTCCATGTAGTGGAAGCACCTTTTATGGATGGATTCCTTCTGAAGGGCACGGATAGCTCCAGTGGAGCCATGCTACAAAGGCTATGTGCCCAAGAAGATTGGAGGTGGGAGATGCCATACACCAAATGGCCATTGGCTCCTGCAGATCCCTTGTAATTTGTGGGGTAGGAGGCCAAAGTGCAATCTTCCACCCTTCTTGAAGAGTCTCTCATTTAGAAGACCATTGTAGAAGACACTATAAGAAGGATGTGGAAAAATTGGAAAGCGTCCAGCGAAGGGCAACAAAAATGATTAGGGGACTGGAACACATGACTTATGAGGAGAGGCTGAGGGAACTGGGATTATTTAGTCTGCAGAAGAGAAGAATGAGGGGGGATTTGATAGCTGCTTTCAACAAACCTGAAAGGGCGTTCCAAAGAGGATGGACCTAGACTGTTCTCAGTGATAGCAGACAACAGAATAAGGAGTAATGGTCTCACTTTGCAGTGGGGGAGGTTTTAGGTTGGATATTAGGAAAAACTTTTTCCACTAGGAGGGTGGTGAAGTACTGGAATGCATTACCAAGGGAAGTGGTAGAATATCCTTCCTTTGAGATTTTTAAGGTCAGGCTTGACAAAGCCCTGGCTGGGATGGTGTAGTTGGGGATTGGACCCGCTTTGAGCAGCGGGTTGGACTAGATAACCTCCTGACGTCCCTTCCAACCCTGATATTCTATGAAGAGCTCCCCCCACCTCGCCTGTCATTTTCTTGGAAAGTTGAAATCCAGACCTGAGGGTTTGGCCCTGTGTTTGTGGGACATGGATTCCTCCAGTGATCTCAGTTAAATACTGGAAAACTGCTCACAATAATATTGCAAAGCCAGGCTTTACGTGATCTCAGAAGGGCTAGCACTTCTGCTATAGCCTGGACGTGGTATTTCATAACAGAACTATTGCGAAGGCTGTAAAGAAAGTCACAGGTTGCAATTTTTTTCTGGAAACGGCAACTTTTCTTACACACCACAACTTTTTTATAGTTGCAGATGTGAGTGATGTTCCAAACCATGCACCAGGTTGCAATGCTACTCACTGAAATTTGGCCCAGATGCCCCTCTATTGTTGTGTAGGGGCAACTAAAACAAATATGAGTGAGTGGTGTTACACTACCACTCACGTTTGGATTTTAATTTTTTGTTATGGTACTTGAACTGACCACACCAAAATTGCAACTGTAGCTGCATCTTTTCAACCAAAAAAATCACAACTTTCCTACAGCCTTAATTATTGGTTCATTTCAGGGGCCAGGGACACCTTTTAAGAGGCGGTGTCAGAATCCATATTGATGCCAAGCTGAAATGACCAGGATTGGTCAATGAGATAGAGCTCTGACATACCACAATGACAAGAGACTTAAAAATCACATTTGATAAACGGTTGTGTGACTGAATTAGCCTCCTCTGAGGCAGGACAAGACAGAGTGGTGATGCAGCAGTGTCTGAAGTGGCACTCTGAGTGGCAATATTGCTAAACCCAAGAATTACAAAATTAGAAGACAGTTCCAGCACCAACCCAGGAGACTTGCATCCAACCTGAAACGTGTGCAAAACCTGTTCTCGGCTCCCTCAGCGCAGCTTGCAGAGGTGCTTTGGATACTTGGTATCACTGAGTAACTTGAAACAATTGCAGTCCTGTCAGAATTTCAAGAATAGAATTTCAAGTCTGTTTGTTTTGTTACAGTACCCTCACTGACCAAATTGCTGTCCCTGTGCTTCGTAGTTATGTGGTGTGTTGTTCAAGATGAAAAAAAATCTATAGCTCTGTGCTGACAGTATTACATAGGATTGTGTGCAAGACATCTACCCCTAGTCATAGACAAGATGCTGTAGAGGGCACAATCTGTCTGTAACAGGTCATCTGATTCAAATGCAGGTTTTCTGTTGTGTGCCACTTACTATGGAGAAAAGTTACATGCTACTTAATTATTTGTTTAGTCCCTGAAAATATGCTCATTCATCAGTTATGTCCTTGATTGCTTGCCTTTCCAGCAGGTCACTGGATTAATCTGTGCTGAGTGGGAACTGTAGAGAAATTTAATGTCATCCAGTACCACTACCACCAGATCTTTGCATAGCTGTACATACGCTCTGGACACTGATGAATAGCTCTTCCATGTAGTATTCTCCTTTAAGGTCTGGTTTCAATGTTGCCAACCTCAAGCATTCAAAAATCATGAGTCAGGCCACAGAAATTATGAGAATAAAAAAAAAAAAGTATTTGAGGGGTTTTGGCTTCTGGCTTCAGAGCCTGAAGGTTACCAATTAGTCACATTTTCAGGCTTTCCCCAACAATATTGAGGGTTGGAAGCTTACGTTTATTTTTCAAATGAAAGATGAGATTCTAACATAATTTGCCTCTAGGAGCTGGGATATTAAGAAAACCACTAGAGACTTTCAGTAAAATCTTGACAGTTGGCAGCACTGGTATTTTAGTCACTGTTTAGATGCTGAAAAAAAATCTGACTTCTGTGGTGGTGTAATGGTGTAACTGAGGGTGAAGTTTGGCCCTGGAGCACTAATGTAATTTTTTTTTCATTTTTGTTTTGTGGGAGGAATCTATCATGTCACCAGCAAACGATTAAAGAACTTTATAATAAGCACAAAATCCAAATAGGCCCATTAGACACGGTAATATACAGAAGATGTAGCATCATTTTGGGTAATTTTAGCAAGCAGTTTTCCTCTCTTCTCTGTTTTTACTTACTTACAGTTGCTTTAACTCTCCTGTTCTTATTTTCATCATCAACCTCTGGCAATTTGTAATTAACCTTTCCAGGTTAACTGGTGCAGACAGCACCTGTCGGGTAGCATTGTTCTGAATAAACCAGTTTAGCAATGTTTTCTGCATAAACCATTCTCTGGATCAAATTGATGTAGAAAATGCTGTCAGTTAGACTCCGATCCCCTGACTCCTACAGTATTTACACCCACTTATACCAGCATTCAGATTCTCAACATGTAAATTGCACCTCATACTTTGGTAAATTAAAGTAGTGGGCGCCCAGCTTTAATTTTCACCTTTGCACAATGGGGTGTGTGTGTGTGTGTGTTCTATAGTTTTGCTCCTCTGTTATGCCAGCCGCTATCTAAGCTTATTCGGACTCGCCTCTGGAAGGGAAAAGGGAGCAAGCTGTAAGAAGAATGAACAGGTCACCCCAGGCATCCTGTTACCTGTGAGGCTCTGTGAAGAATTTAACTATAACAGAACATCACTAGATCAGTCAGATGAATGGGAGATCTAGTGTGGATTATTGAATATTGTGAAATAGTATATAACAAAGGCAATATAAAATCAAGTATAACGCAGTTCAAAGGACCTGATTTAGAGCACAGTGAAGTCAGTGGAAAGACTTAAGTGGGCTTTGAATCAGGCTCAAAATGTTGTCACTTAATTTTATAGGCTGCACATACAGTGCTATGAATAAAGAAAAGGAGTACTTGTGGCACCTTAGAGACTAACGAATGCATCTGATGAAGTGAGCTGTAGCTCACGAAAATTTATGCTCAAATACATTTTAGTCTCTAAGGTGCCACAAGTACTCCTTTTTTTTTTGCAAATACAGACTAACATGGCTGCTACTCTGAAAGCAGTGCTATGAATAGAGAAGGTTAACCTAAGCACATTTGATATAAAGGCGCTTATAACTTCCTCATCTAAAAACTATAGAATAAACCAAAATGAATTTATGCACGAGTTAAAACAGACTTTTTAGAAAATACTTTAATTGGTTTTAAACAAGACTCTTTGAATGATTACATATGGCATAGTTCATTATGACAGTTTATTTTTAACAAATTATCTTTAGCAAAGTTTATAAAGTACCTTGAACATGAAAAGTGCTATGCCAGTGCTAATCAGAATTGTTTAATTGATGTCTGTGAGATCACAGCTTTAGTCTGGTCACCAAGTCCTCCCTGGAGAGACATGTCCTTTTTGAAATCACCATATCCTTTCCAGGGGAATGTTGCTCACAGTTGTACAAAAGATCATAGCAGCTGGAATCAAATGCCTGACACTCAAATGCCTGTGATTTATTAAGATGGTAATTGGCGATCTTGCTGACACCAGGCAATATCTAATTTTTAAAAATAATTGAAAACATCACCTGTGAGGTCTTCATAGATATACAGTGCCAATACCTAGTAAAAATCATTACATTTAGCAGCATAAGAATCTGTTCAAATGAGATCTGTGAAATCTCTTACAAAAGGCATACTTGCATGGAAATAGATTAAATAATGTAATCCTCCTGACTAGGAGCTTGCCCGGTATTGCTATGAAGAGCTTGGAACTTCCAAAAGTAGAGCCAGAGCCTGACCCTACTCACACTGACTTCA